TTCTCTACTTTACAGAGATCAGTCCCTCCACCTGCAGAGAGAAGAAGGATGGAGAGATCAGATCAGTGAGTGTTTCCAGCCTCTCCAGCAGCAGTCAGGAGAGGCTTCCATCCAGTAGATGGTTTCCAGGCTGCAGTCAGACTGATCTCAGAGCTGTGACCAAGATGAACCTGATCAGTTGTTTCCTATTTAACTGAGAGAACAAGCAGATCTGAGATCAGATCTGCTGCTGCCACAGTTTGATGAATGTCTCTAGACATGTTGGACGGCTGGACGCTGGAGTCCAGCTGGACGTCCTGGAGAGATGGACACAGCAACAACACATCTTCACACCAACACAAACACAGGAACACAGCAAGCTGGCTCCTGGTTGGCTGATTGCTGTCTCTGTGTCCAATCAGGAAGCCTGAACCATTCTCCTCCCACTGAGAAGCTTTACTGGGAACACTGGAGCTTTGCTTTGATGCTTACTGGGTTTAGTTCAATATGCTAACAGCAGCTGGACTCACTACAAACATTTACTTACTGTAAAGTCTTTACAAGATCCTTCAGCTGCTGAACATCTGAATCCTTCAGGTAGTTTCCTCCCAGATCCAGTTCTGTCAGACGGAGGCTGTTGGACTTCAGAGCTGAGGCCAGAAAATCACAGCTGATCTTTGACAACCCGCATCTGAAAAACCTGAATAAAAAAAAAAAGATGAGCTGAAGCCAACAGGATGCAGGTGAACCAGTCCAACAGAACCAGTTAAAGATTCTCATGAATATTAAAGCCAACAAGCTGCTGCTTCAATAAAGACCTGCTGACTTCAGAACCACAACCAGAACCTGGTACTGGGTCATGTTGTGTTGGAGGATTTTAGCCAGTAAAATCATTCCAGGTTCTGATCAAAGTGTTGAAGCATCAATCATTGATTATTGATTTGTTCCTGTCAGATTCCAGGATTCACTTTTCTAGACTGGGTTGAATGACCTTTGACCTGCTTGACATGAGGGGGATTTCTACACACTGGGGGTCCGAATGCTGTCCTGTTCTGACCTCAGATCAGAGGGTCCAACTCAGTTACACAGAGGGACTAAATTAAACTCTGGATCCAGGAACAAACTAAGAAAATATTTATTAGATCAGAAGATATGAACTTTGATTTATGATCAATTATAGATAATCATTCACAGAAATATCAATAATTATATAATTATAAACCTCAATATTTTCAGTCCGCAGCCTTCAGTCTGTAGAAAACCACAGAGCTCCTTCAGTCCAGAACCTTCCAGGTTGGTGTTGAACAGGTACAGTTCTGTCAGATGGGTCGGTTTGGACTTCAGAGCTGAGAACAGAGACGTCCAGCTGGTCTCTGACAAACTGCAGTTCTTCAATCTGAATAAAGAATAAAAGATGAGCTGAAGCCAACAGGACGCAGTTAAAACTGAAATATGAACAAATAAATAATAAAATGTAGAAAATTAATTTCCCTGAATGTAAAAGAAACATGATGAACTGATTCTAACATCTGATCCAGTCAAACATGTTTAAAGAGTCCAAACCAGCAGAACCAGAACATTTGATCAACAAAGAAACTCAAAGTTTTCTATGAGCAGCAGTCTGGATGAGGTGAGCCATTTCTGCTGGTTCCTGATCATCAGCTGGAGATCCAACTTGGTAACCGGATCAGAACCACTCAGTTTATTCATGAATGGCCTTGGGTTCTTCTTAAAGCTGCTGAAAGCCGATGGAGGCCATTATTTCCTCAGGAGACGTGACCTGATGAAGCTTCATCACAGAGACGAGGCTCCAACCGACTGACAGCTGTCAGACTGAAGAGGACGGTTCCTCTCTGACCCGGCCCAACAGAACCACAGCTTCAGGACAAAGTGAGGAACCTGCTGCTGCTGCTGCAAACCTCACTGTCATTCAGCTCATCTAGATTTGCTTTTCTACAATCAGTCACTTCTTAGATGTTTCATTAATGATGATTTGAACTGGTCAGTGTTTGTGGCTCGAATCTGGAGGAACAACATTTCATTCTGGATGTAAAGATGAGAATCAGAAATGAGAAATAAAACAATCTGAATCTTTATAAACCAAACTGAAACATCTCCATCATTAATTAACTTCATTTGAATTATTTTACTCAATTTGTTCATCAGTCAGAAACATTTTAGAAACTGAAAAACAAAGTTCAATAATCTCAAAATCAGAAATAAGAAAATAATTCATTTATAAGGTAAAATGTTTTAGAGATTTTGATTTGACATTTAAACAGGTTGTTTTAAAATATATTATAATAAAATTATTAATTAAACTAAGGATTAAAGTATCAATGAATGATTTTATTGTATAAATAGAGAAAACAAACCTCAGTTCCTTCACTTTACTGACTGAACTCTCCAGGATCTCAAGCAGATTCTTCATATCAGAGTCTCCAATGTATTCACCTCCCAGTTTTCCCAGTTGGATCTGACTTATTTCCAGTTCAGTCAGATCTGGTTTGGACCTCAGAGCTGAGGCCACAACTTCACATTCAGCCTTACTGAGCTCACAGCCACCAAGTCTGTG